ATTAAATTTTGATAACTTTGCCAGTTAAGTTTCAGTTTGAGCTTTCCTTCATTTTGTAGACTGACCAGGGCATCAAAAACCTTTCCGTTGACGATGCAGCAAGACTTTCCCAGGAAGATCCTGATTATGGCATCCGGGATCTTTTCAATGCCATCGCCACAGGAAACTTCCCCTCCTGGACTTTGTACATCCAGGTCATGACGTTTAATCAGGCAGAAGCTTGTCCATTTAATCCATTTGATGTCACCAAGGTGAGCCCATAACAACTATATTGTTTTCTTTTTTAAGTTTCTTCTTACCTGATTTGAAAACATTTCCAGTCAAGCATTCACAATGGTGGGGAAGTCATATACACAGTGCAGTGGTACCACTTCAGAGCTTCCTGGCCTGTGAGTGAGCGCTTGCCGGCATCTCCCTTCTGTGTTCCTGTTTGTAAGTTCATTGAATACATATAAGTGGCTTCATATGTTGTTATTAGCAGAGAACAAATTTTGAAAAGCTGATGATGTACTTTCGCCTGGGGAAAGTGTCAATATTTACCATTTACTATTGTGAAAGATTAAACTAATAACACTCATCTGAAGTTCTTACCATGTTTTATTAGATTAAAAAATATTATTTTCACTGGCTTGATTATATTTGAAAGCTGGTATTTTTATGGGTAGCTTTAATTTCCTTCAGTTGGTTGTCTGGTCATTGTGAATATGACTTTATTTTCAGGTTTGGTCTCACCGGGACTACCCTCTTATTCCAGTTGGTAAACTGGTCTTAAACCGGAATCCTGTTAATTACTTTGCTGAGGTTGAACAGATGGCTTTTGACCCAAGCAACATGCCACCTGGCATTGAGCCCAGCCCTGACAAAATGCTTCAGGTAAGCCTGGTGGATTGAGATGTTCCAAGGCAGGTGTCCATGTGCACACACACACACACACACACACACACACAGCGTGCAGTTTGGCATGATATTTATGTGAGGAATTAACTAGAACATTACTTAAACTTTAATCTGGGTGCTTAGTTCCTCATGGTACTCACTGAGGTGAAACACCCTTAGGTGGGCATTCCTTGCATAAACCAAGTAGAAGCTAAATTGCATAGTAAAATGTCATATGTGAGGACATGAATACTTAGTCTCTTAATTTTTAAAAAAAGATGTAATAGGCTGGGCGTGGTGACTCATGCCTGTAATCCTAGCACTCTGGGAGGCCGAGGCAGGAGTATCACCTGAGGTCAGAAGTTTGAGACCAACCTGAGCAAGAGTGAGACCCTGTCTCTACTAAAAATGGAAAAAAAAAAAAATTAGCCAGTCAACTAAAAATAAGAAACAAAAAAATCCTAGCTGGGCTTGGAGGCTTGTGCCTGTAGTCCCAGCTACTTGGGAGGCTGAGGCAGAAAGATCGCTTGAGCCCAGGAGTTTGAGGTTGCTGTGAGCTAGGCTGATGCCATGGCACTCACTCTAGCCCGGGCCACAAAGCGAGACTCTGTCTCAAAAAAAAAAAAAATAAAACACGTAATAGAAATGCTTTAGGTATTTGTAGAGTAAAGCATGGTCTGTTCAGTCTGTAACTATAATGGGAGGGAATGTAGTTAATTGATTATAATACCTTGCTCAGCATAACTTTATTCATTTATTATTTCGTGGTGATGCTCGAATTTTTTAATCGGTAAAAAGAGATCTGAGGATGGTCTTTATGAACTAAATTTATGCTGCCAGGAATAAAGGCAGCAGATTAATTTAATAATTTGCCTTGGTAGTGTTGCTAGGCAATCAGTATGTTTTACATCACTTTCCAATATGTTCTTCCAAGAGTGTAAAGAGTGAAAAATTGTACTTTGGACCAGAATCAATAGGAAAGTAATTGGCTTAATAATTATCATATAAGTCAATCTTTCGTGTTTTTGGACTCGGACCATGAAACAAAGGTTAAAGATTATACCCTCGATCAGACCACAGTGACTGAGGGTGCTTCTTATGTAAGTATCTGATTCCAGTTTTAGGTTTCAGCCTCCTCAGAGGACAAGTTAAGATGACCATGTTTTGTTTTGTTTTGTTTTTCTTTAATAACAGTTTTGCTATGACATTAGGAACATCTGAAGCCTATAGAGAAAGTAAGTTCTTCATTAGTTTGTAGTTCAGTTTAACTAATACAAATTAAGTCTATTGTGTGTGATAGATTGTGCCAGGTTCTATAACGATAACGGAGGGCAGAGTGCCATGGTCAATCAGAAAGCGAAATTTTGTCTGACAGGAGGTTGACCACAAAGTTTCATGAACAGGTAGTATTTGACATGGGTTTTGAAGAATGGATGGGATTTCGATTTTCAACAGGTAAAATGGTGCAGGAGAAGGACATGAGTGAAAAAGGACAAGCTGTAAATAGTCACTCTCTCCTCAATGAGAAGAGTGAGTTTGGACAGGTTCATTGGGTATATGTCAGAGGGGACCTTAAATGCTTGAATAGAAGCATTTCTTTTCTAGGAAAAGAAAAGTTTTCTTCAGTTTTGAGAAATGTATACACACACACACACACACACACACACACACACACACGCACACATACCCCAGACATATCTATCTATCTATCTATCTCAAGTAGAATCACTTCTTTTGATAATAAATAGAAAAAACAAGCACCTGGGGATTGGGAATAGAAAAAGAAAGTCAAGGTGATTCAGAGGATAAGCAGAAGTTGCATTGTAACTGGGGAGCAGAGGAAGCCGAGACAGTGACCCTGGGCTGGGGGTGGGGAACTTGCGGCCTCGAGGACACATGTGGCCCTCCAGATCCCCAAGTGCAGCCCCTCTACTGAATCCAAACCTCAGAGAGCAAATCCCTTTAAAAGGATTTGTTCTGTAAAGTTTGGATTTAATCAAAAGGCTGCACTCAAAGATCCAGAAAGCCACATGTGGCCCCAAGGATGCAGGTTCCCCACCCCTCTCTAAGGCATCTGTTGAAACCATTGGGGAAGAGAGTCCTGAAAAGGGTGACATGTGGAAATTAATATAATTTCTGGCTGGGCGTGGTGGCTCACACCTGTAATCCTAGCACTTTAAGAGGCCAAAGCAGGAGGATTGCTTGGAGCCTGGAGTTTAAGACCAGCCTGAGCACCAGAGTGAGACCCCCTCTACAAAAAAAAAATAGAAAAAGTGGCTGGGCCTGGTGCATGATTGTAGTCCCAGCTACTCAGGAGGCGGAGGCAGGAGTATCACTTGAGCCCAGGAATTTGAGGTTGCTGTGAGCTATGATGACATCACTGTACTCTAGCCCAGGTAACAGAGTAAGATCCTGTCTGGAAAAAAAAGAAAAAAAAAATATATGTGTATATATAGATATAGATGTATAGATATAAAGTTTCTATTAGCATTAATTTCAGCTTGGCAACTATATTTTAATTTCAGTGTGTTCTCTGTATAGTTTTTTTTTTTTAAGGAATTTTTGAAAAGTGTTTGAAAGAGCTTTTGTAAGTTTTCCTAAGTTATTGTTCCTACCTTAGCTTTTCCCGTAACTTCTTAGGTCATTTAGGTATCAATCGTAGTACTGTGGAGCATTTTAGGGACCATAGAACTGGGAAGGCCTGTTGTACTCATTTAGCCATTTGGTGACCCAGTGAGGAATCATTTAAGGTTTTTTGAGCAGGTAAATAATACAATCTGAGTGGGGCCTGAGGAAGATTCTTTAGGCAGGAACATGTAGGTTGTATTATTGGACTAGGGCCTGGACGTGGAGAGCCAGGTAGGAGGGCTTTGAAATTATGATGAGAGCTAATGAGCCCTGTTGCTTGGGTGGTGGCAGTTGGTATATTAATGGACGGTGTTCTCAGTTACCTTTTAACAAGGTCATGTTAATAAATTTTGTGACTTTATCCAAAGCGGTGAGCCAGACCACGACGAAATGGACAAAGTAGTACAGTACAGGTCCCAGACTGTGCCCTGAGTTTCTGATGATGCAGATGCCCTTTCTTTACTCTCATACTCTGCACTGTGCCAGGAGTTGCAGCAGTTGGGCTGACGGCCAGAGTGGGAAAGGGTTGTTCTGCTTTCTCACCCGGGTCCAGAAGGGATTTCAGACTCAGGGCTTAGGTGAGCCCTAAATTCACCTGGTGTCAGGGTATGGCCCTGCTGTGCCCATTGCCCAGCCTTTCCTGGTCTCCACCTATGGGTGGGGTAGGGTTGCCTGATAAACATAAAGTGGCACAGAATCGGAATTATCGAGGCTACATCCTCGATTGTATCTTCTATTCTGTTGATAGAGTTAAGAGCACGACTTTTTGAGCCAAAGGAGGCAACGAGCTTGCAAACTGTGGGTGAGTGTTAGTCATGGCCACATGGCCGGTCGTCTCAATATGGCCTTAGACAACTTGCAATGATTATGGGAGGTGGAGTCTTACAGCCAAGAGCAAATCATTGACAGAAGAGTGGGACTGGAGTAAGCATATCGGTGTGAGTGAATGGGTACAAAATAATTGCTTAAGTTGCCATATTCAATTTGGTTTTTATTTTGCTTTATAGAATTAGGGATATAAGAGTACAGTTTAAGGTCCAAGGCCAATGATAAAGTCAGTGAAAGAAAAATTCCTCATAGAGTAGAACTTTGAATAACAAGAGTACTTAAGTAATTGGACATTAAAATTAACGTAGAATTCATCATAAAGTTTTTTTGCTTCAGCATTTACTGAAAGAAATTTCAAAATGCGTACCATCCTGCCTTGCTTAATACGTAACATCATTTAACCTTGGATTCATTACCTTTGGCATTTGGCATTGTAGGGCCATCATTTTGAACCATAGCTTTCTTTTTGTAGCACTTTGTTTATATCTAGAAAGTCTCAGAGCTCAGAGCATATCTCAGATAACTCAGAAGGCAACATGCGAGGTGTTTCTTTGAAGAATTTCCTGTACAGTTGGTTTTGTAGACATTTGTTGCTTTTTGTTAAGAGCAAATGATTGATTCTTTCCCTGGAGTGGAAGAATGGGGAGGAGTGGAATTAATTCAGGATTCCAGATTCTAGCAAATTTATTTTACAATGTAATACTTCCTTGGGAATGGAAAGTAATAAAGTATAAGGCAGGGCACTAACTTGTTATTTGGGGTATAAAAGAGGTGTTATTATCTAAAACAGATGTGAACATTTATGGTTGGCCATATGGCGTGGGAAATGAAGGACTGTCCGGTTAGGGAGAGCTCATTTCACAAGAAGAGACTTGGCCCAGGCAGGGTTTTGTGGTAACCATGTACAAAGTCTTTGTACTTCAAATTGTAGAATGGAATTTATAGCCCAATTTTATTTTATATCTTGCTGCCCCCCCTCAATATCTGTTGCATTTATCACTGTAGGGCCGCCTTTTTGCCTATCCTGACACTCACCGCCACCGCCTGGGACCCAATTATCTTCAGTTACCCGTGAACTGTCCCTTCCGTGCTCGAGTGGCCAACTACCAGCGTGACGGGCCCATGTGCTTTCAGGACAATCAGGGTAGGCCTCAGGACATTTGGCTCTCCCTGTAAGGGTCGAGGGTGTGTGAAGCAGTTGGGGTGGGACACCAGGACAGTGGCTTTCAAACTGGCCCCACAGAACATCTTGTTCTGCGTGCGTGCTCTCCACAACCGGGTGTTTTGCCCAGCAGTGAAAGTTTAAACTGTCTGACGCCTCTCCATGTTTTTATCTATTTTACATTTTTGATTGAGAGTTCCTCCCTCAGGTGTTACTTGCCGTCCTCTGACAGTTAAAGGCAGAGAAAGATCTTTCATGTTGGCTATAGTAGAGTAACATCCAACTTAGGAGTTAGGTTTTAAAGACACTTTATAAAATGGACAATTCCTTAACTCAGAGCACCAAGACTTAGATCCTTGGTAGTGCAAAACCTGAGTTCATGTCTTTTGTTTTTCTTTGCAGTTCTGTCGAGGCCCTGGGGGAGCAAGTCTAGCTGGAATCTGGAGGGGATAGAGCAGCCTGGGGAGGGGGGATAGGGGAGATTGAGCAAATCAAGGGATTCTTCCCCCATGTTTTTTTCCTAAGTGAATGTAGTTGAAGTTACGTAAATCAACTGGTAAGATGAGACTCCACTACAGTTTCGTTTTTTGGAGCTTATTTATCAAATTTATGATTTTTTTCTTTTAACTGCTTTTTTTGGTGCCATGTACAAACCAGCCTCTAGTTCTAATTATGTATCCTAATTAATCAAACAGAATGCTTGATTAATGTTTTTCCTTTTAGTATTCCACAGTTTATATTAATATAGATCTTAGTTATTTTATTTTCCTATTTAGGACACGTGTTTTGGAAATAGTCTGCTTACACCAATACCTTCAGAAATTTTACTGATGATGCACATTTATAGCCATAGATGGCGCCACTCAAAGTTTATTTTTCTATAATAAAAATAATATAACATGAGCCCTAACGGAAATTTGGAAAATATAGGGGAAGGAAGAGAAGAAAGAAGAAAAACTAACTTATCTTTTCAACTTCCAAAGGTCACAGCTATTACATTTTGCTATATTTCTTGCTATTCTTTTCTGTGAATATTTTTCATACACTTAAGATTATTTTGCATATGTAAATTTGTGCCCTGCTCTTGTTATCATTATCACTAAGCCTTTTTCATATATTTAACAAGTTTACATGTTTATTATTAATAATTATGTTAGTTGGCTGAAATATTTCTGATCTCTGAGGTTTCTAGAGCCATGAGGTGTGTTACTGCCCAAAGTAATTGATACTTCCTGTATCTGTCTTCTGCATTTTTATTTTTCTCTTTTTTTTTTTAATTCATATTCCTTGGTTTTCCTTTCTTTACCGAAACGGTCTATAGCAGAGAAGTTCATGTATATTTTGAACTTCATTAATGAGTAATTGCTTCATGTTTACCATTCTTATTTACCATTATAGTGGCATACTTGTGAAAAAACTACTTAAGGATCTATTTTTACTTATCCTTTGCCTAATTTTAAAAGTAGAGCATTTGGGCTATGCTCTTTTAAGTACTGAAATAGGCACGTTTCAAAGAGTTAAGTCTTAATCCAGAAAGCACTGTGACAGCTGGTTGTTGGAGCATTTTAGTCTTCATACACATGTGGCCGAACTAGGATGAATTTCTTGAGCTAATAGTTGAGCTCCGTAAGTATATAGTGTCCTTCCTTCCCCACCCCCACCCCCCACACTGGTGCCTTGACCAATGTGATGGACAGGCATCTCTTGATTATCCACTGTAGATAATCTATTCTGGCAGGGAGTCGGGTAAAATTCCAATGCCAGACTGGTTTGCTCAGACCATTTAATGTGTTTCTGGGCCGCTCCTGTTCAAGGCAGTGTGTGCTCAGACAATTCAAAATTCTGCTAATGTTGACCAAAGCAGAATATAGTTAGGAAAATAAAATGGAAAAAAAAAAAGCCTCATAATTTATTTGGGAAGTCATATAAAATGTTTTGATTGTATTTTTTGCTGTTTCTTTCTATAAGTCCAGATAAGTGAGTGCTGACATACTTACACATATCAAATTTTTAAAAAATCCCTTTTTTATTTATCTGTGGAGCGACATGAAAGTGAAGCTAGAATTGAATAAAGTCATCATCGTTGGTAAAGGAGAGATACCCTGGGAATGTTAAAAACATTTAAGGAATAGCGAAGTAGAGTTCTATAATGGAAGTACAGTACATGCTGGGCTGGAAGAGACAAAAAACCCAGAGTTCTAATCCCACATCTACCCCTAACTACTTACTGTGTGGCCTTGTAGCAGTCAGTTAGCAACGCAGAGCACCACATCTGTGTTTGTAAATTCAAGGAGCAGAGCCAGAACTTTAAGGTCGCTCCCAAGAATTCTGTGATTTGGTGTTTGAACCAAGCCCAAGTCCAAAATGAAACCCTCAAATTTGAAAGGTGTCTTCGGGTCTCACTTCTACATAGGCTGACCAATGGCCAGTGGCACAACCTGGGGTGCAAAGATTAGCCAAGTCAATCTGACTCCATACATCTAGGGTCCGATACAGAGGTATTGAGAGAAGAAGTAAAAGGTGGCCCCAGAAAAGGAATACTTGAAGAAAGAAGCCATAAAGAAGAGTCAGGTCATGGACATGGCAAAGGCCCAACAATGAAAAACAGAAGCGATGAGGCAGAGGTTCTGGTTCTGCTCTAAATCAAACGTGCATAAATTTATGCGTGTGCTGGTAAGCATCAGATGACATGATAGATTAGATCATTTGAAGAATTGAAATGGACTTTGAGATCTCTTCATTCAGACTGAGTGAGATTTGGGGGCAGGGTGAGGGGGTGAAAGAAAAAAAAAGACTCCGAGTAAGACAGCCCATGAGAGCATTTAGAAGATGGCAGTTTTCACTAAGAATCGGTACTACCTTAGTAATTAAATACAGGAAGTTAAAATGTGTGTGTTGTGTTTATGTCTGTATATGCTCATTCGATTACCACCTAAGTTTATTTCTTATGACATTGACTATTTGCAGACTTACTTCATTTTCCATATTCCTGAGTGAATCTGTGTGGTTTTTCCTTAAAGGTGGTGCTCCGAATTACTACCCCAACAGCTTCAGTGCTCCAGAGCAACAGTCCTCTGTCCTGGAGCACAACACCAGATTTTCTGCAGACGTGCGGCGCTTCAACAGTGCCGACGACGACAACGTCTCTCAGGTAATGGCTTCTTTGCTATGGGAGCTGCTTGCTAATTGTCTTTGTCAATGTCTGCACATTCTGTCACTCTCCAAGTGTCTAATTTGTCTTAAATTGAATTCAGGAAAGACTCACGTCTAATTGTAAATCGGGCCCCTTATTGGGTGGAGTTGAAGAGTTGTGTTACTATGCTCTTTTGGTTCAAGATATGGAACTCGTCTTAGTTCCCCGAAAGTTTATGGAAGGGGTACAGGGGGTGGGGGCAAGGATTGAGGAAACAGCAATCTCATGGCAGTCTAAGAAATGAGCAAGTACAGCTTAAGTACAGCCAAATCTAAGGATCTGGGCAGAGGGCCCAGTTCAGTGGACCGGAACTAGAGATCCAAAATGGCTCTAGGAGCCTTGGTGGCAAGAGTGTGGGCGTTTCTGCCACAGTCCGCACCATTCACATGACTTAGCTACTCTCTGTCTGCTTCTGCTTTCCAATACTAATTATTTTTACCATGTCTTCCTATTTTTCTCCCCTTTGCCTCAGAGCTTCTGTTTTATCATTGTTGGGCCTTTGCCATGACCATGACCTAACTCTCCTTTATGGCTTCTTCATGTATTCTTTTTTTTGGACCACCTTTTTACTTCTTCTCTCAATACTTCTGTATGGGATTCTAGAAGTAGGGAGTCAGGTTGACTTGGCTAATCTTTTCACCCCAGGTCGCACCACTGGCCATTGATCAGCCTGTATAGTTATCTGCCCTCGTCAAGTTTTTCTCTTTCTAGTCAACTATGGCTGCCCTAAAGGCTCTTTCAGGGGCTATAGGTGGGCAGCCACCTCATTAATGTGTCTACTGCAACTTATGCCACACACAATAATGGCATAAAGTTAAAAGTATAATTGTTCTAGAGCTCTGTTTGGGCAGTTGGTTTTAAACTTAGTATTGAAGTGTGAGTAGAACCTATTTCTAGTTCCTGTTTGTGCATGTGAGTTCCAAGTAAAATATACTTAAATACGTGAATTAATTTACTACGAGGATAGCTT